GTTCCTTATAATCCATATTTAAGTAAAAAATATAATTGTCATATCAATGTAGAGATATGTTCAAGTATTAAATCAGTTAAATATCTCTACAAATATATATACAAAGGAGAGGATAGGGTCTTAATTTCATTAGTAAATCTAAAAGATGAAATTCAAAAATTTGTAAATGCAAGATATGTTTCTGCATCAGAAGGAATATGGAGATTATTTAATTTTAGTTTACAAAAAAGGTCCCATACAGTTGAAAGATTACAAATTCACTTAAATAATGAACAAAATCTTTACTTTAGAGAAGGTCAAGATATATCATCAACTTTACAAAAAGGTCAACATACAAAGTTAACAAGATATTTTGAACTTTGTAAAGATAATATATATAGATGTTCTACAATATTATATTTGGAAAGAAAATAATTGGGTGAAAAGAAAGAGAAGTGGTGCAAAAGTAATTTCTCGAATGCATTTTGTAAATCCAAGAAATGAAGAGAGATTCTACTTAAGAGTGATATTAAATCGTGCAGAAGGTCGTACAGAATTTGATAATGCTATGACAATTAGTGTTGGCATATGCCATAAGTCATAACAAATTTTCAATATGACCTTGGTCATATGGTCATATGACCATAGGTCATAAAGTTATAAGGTCATAATGTTATGATCAGTGGTCATATGACTATTATGACTAAGGTCATATGACTAAATTGTTAGATCATAACTTTTTAACCAATCAAAATTGCATACATAATCACAAATTAACTTATCTACTATTTGTTGTTACGATATGGAAGAGGCTTTACAATTGTACTGCTAATTTAACTCTGGTCGTAAGCATTAAAACTAGGAAACCAGCTATTTATTATTATGCACAAGACACTAAAAGTACTATGATACAAGTATCTTCCAAAAAAGTGTACCCGATACACAAAGAATCCTCTAAAATACTGATTTCTATTACTCAATTCCATTTGAGTAAAAGATCATTTACAAAGAATATCTCTATTTATATATATTCTATTAGACCCAAATTAACTAAGAGTCTATTTATGCAAATGTCGTAACTATGTAAAAGTCTAATTAAAGTAAACCCTGTGATTATACTACGTATACTATAGTATGTCACAAAAAGCTTATTCGCAAATGTTACGTTATTTTCGTAACAACTCTCTCAAATAATTTTGCTAATTTTTTTTGGGCACATTTTTGTTTTTCTGTGTTGATTATATTCTCTAGATTTGGGTTCAAAAACCCTTGGAAGTAAAAATGTATAAGTACAATGCCAAACTAATAAAGAACACAACTTCTTGCTTCAATAATGCATAATGAATATGTATGTATGTTTGTATATGCTCGATAATGGCCTTCCTTATAAATAAGGCCCCGAGTGCATCGTTAAACTTGCATTATCTAATTTTGGAATCCAGAATTTCAATCGAGTTTCCAGATCGACTGCATTATCCAAATTCTGAATAGATCAACAACCTTAAAGGTCTTGGTGCGCTAATCATTAACTAACAGCAACGATATAAAGCCCAACTCTTGTGTCTTGCAGAAGGAATCTATCAACTTGACTACTTCTCTTAGTATTAATAATGCTGAGTTAATGTTTGTGGCCGTGCTAATTCGGCGTTGAAGTGTGAAAGTCTCTTCCTTGGTCGCAACAAATGCAAGACTTGGTTTAGCTAATTATTTGCGAATAAACCTTCATGTCTTGTTGCAGTACAAAGTAAATTTTTACAAGATTAGTTCTGATTGATACTTGGATCTTGTTGATAAGCCATTAGTCGTTACGTATAATTTGTCATATGCTGCATTGTTAGTTCACAACTTCAAGACAAATTTTAATTGTATCTCCATGTGATATTTTGTCCATAGTAAGCAGTTCTTTTAATTTTCTAGGATCAAATGTTAATAAAGCACAATCATGTTTATAAATCAAGTCTTAAAAAAGTTGCCATATAAAAAAATATTAAACTCTCAATATCAAGCTTGTTTTGAGCTTGACTTCGCTATATTGAAACTTTAAATAGTTTTCATTTTTAAACCTTTTTTTCTTGTGTAATGATCTGTATAGTTAATTAAGCAGATAAAACAGTTGGTAGCATACAATAATTTGAATCTCAATTTTTTTTTAAAAAAAATTTTTATCTATTATGTCTCCTCATAATTTTAGAAGTTATTTTACTTTAATTAAAAATCCAAATAATCCTACAAATGCTATTGCTGTATGCAACTGGTGTATAAGAAAACATGGTGGATTAGGAATAGCTCAGTTAAAATCAGAATGCTGTACAGTTAACAGGGCACGTTTATGCCGCAATCATCTATCAAAATGCAAAGCCTTTCGCAAAGCTAATACCGAAGAAGAAGTGCAGAAAATCTTATCTTTACTGTACCAGAAGATAAAAAAAAAAAACAAAAAAAAACAAAAATACTGATGGTGTGTTAGATTTTTAGATACTTAATATTTGGGTTTACATAACCTATCTATATTTATATTACATTGTTCAATGTAGGTGAAGAATCTGAGACTAACGAATCTGTAAATTTACATGCTGATTCGGTTATTTCAACTAATTCAAGTTACTCCTCTGTCAATAGCCGGCAGTCTGCAATTACAAATTTTTTGTGCTGACCTTTGTCAGTTAATGAACAATCATGGTTCGAACAATTACTATTAAGAATGATCGTTTCTAATACACTACCTTTTACATTTGTCGAAAATGAAGATACAATTGCACTGTTTGAGTTTTTAGTACCAGGACTTAAATTACCCAAGCGCAAAGTTATAGGTGGCAGAGTATTAATGAAAAGTGCGTAATTATTACAAGAAAACATAATTAAGACTGCTAAGAAGGATTCGGATGGGGTAACTGCAACGTTTGACGGCTAGACAAACATGAAACAAGAACACATCTGGGGTATTGTTTTTATAACCACAAATAGACAATCTTTAGTATGGGGTGCGTATGATATTAGCTCTGAAAGATCACAAACACAAAATGTAATCAATTATATTGAACAATTAATAACTGAAACTGAAGCAAAAAAAATCAACATCAAAGCATTTGTTTCAGATTCCGCTGGTGAATATACAGCCGCACGGTAAATTTTCTTATTTTTATTTATTTATTTTTTTTTAAGATTCGTTTTATTTATTATTATATTTTTGTAGTCGGCAATTACGAAGAAAGTACTCTTCTAAGATTTTTTTACCGTGTATGGCCCATCAAATGAATTTAATATTTAGAGAGATTTTTAAAGAATCAAGTCAATATCAAAGAACATCCAAGGAAGCAATAAGAATCGTGTGTTTTTTTCATAAGTCACCTTTTTTTATGGGTAATCTTAGAGATAAACAAATGCGTATTTATAACAAATGTATTGCGTTAATCGTGCCTGGCGATACAAGATGGAATTCATACTACTTTTGTTTTCATTCTATTTCCAAATCAAAATCCGCACTTAAAGTATAAAATATAATTATATTTTACAATTTATTGTAGATTAGTATTTTAATTTTTTTTTTTCGATTATAATTATTAGTTTCTCTCCTCCAAATTTAATGACTATCGTAGCAATATAATTCGAACAGACGGTATTCCGTCTGAGCCAGCTGATAATCGAACGACTCTACGTAATACCTGAAAACTTCCTGATGACATTGCTGATATTATAAATGACACGCAGTTTTGGATGATATTAGCCAATCTTCAAGAACTTTTATATCCTCTTTGTGGCTTTTTAAATAAGTTACAAAAAGACACAGCTCGATTATATGAAGTCCTTCATTGTTTTGGGTATATCACGAAAATGTTTAAATATTATGAAAATCTTGAATTTAGAACGAGAATGAAAGCACGCATTGAATCACGCTGGAACGAATGGGAGCAACCTTTAATGATTCTTTCTTTTGCATTGCATCCTGAATACAAACTTACTAAATTTAATAATATAGCTGCTAATTTATCCTGGACACATATTGGGCAATGGCTTAAATATTATTATAAGGTGTGGTTTAACTATAAACCTGTGTCTATCTTAGCTGAATTAATAAAATACAAATATGGAAATGATCCATATGATATAGAATCATTTAAACAATTTAAAGGAAATTTAATAGATTTTTGAAAATCAACCAAAGGAGTAGGTCCAGAATTGGCACAAGCAGCGATTTGTATTCACAGAATTTGTATTAACTCTGTATCTGTAGAACGTTTGTGGTCTTCTATAGGGTTATTACATACTAATCGCAGAGCCAGGTTACATGTTTGTATATTATCTATTTATTTTTATTAAGGTTAAAGGGTATAAAACTAACAAATTGAATAGTAGAAATTGTCAGAATTAATGTAGTTTTTTTATAGGGTTGGAATGCAACTATTTTACAATAAAAATTTTTTTATATTAAGTAAACTTGAGTTTTTAATATATAGTAACAAAATTTTTAGTAGTTCACAAATCATTAGCATTTTTTCTTCATAGCTATATGATTTTTACATATTATCAGAACCTTTGGCATTCCAACACAATATATAAGTATAGTACTTTTTTGCTAATTTTATACTCTTCAACTACTATCTACTACTTAATTCTGATTGATATTTGTCATACAATATCATAGCAAAGTAAGGTCCTGTCAATGAGCCAAATACGAAGTGATATTCTTTAATTCCATAAAATAAAAAATGCAAAAGAATATGATAGCCAAATTCATAGACTACATGTTGCAGCATCTATATTATCAAGTGATGAAACTATTGAACAAGAATTAATCATCACTTATTTAGATTATTAAGTGAGTGATGATGGTGATATTGAAGAAAAAACAACTACCAGATCTCATAATCAGAAAAATCAAAGTCCTGAAGAAAATGAAGCTTTAATTGCAGACAAAGAACAAAGGTAAGAAACCCTAATTAGTGAATAGATTGAGTTTGGAGAACATGAAAACCAATTGAAAACAAGGATGTTAAAATTCTATTGTCAAATGAATGAGATGCAAATTTTAGTTTAGGAGGAAGAGAAAAACATCCTGCTGATGATCAAATGGCCAAATGGTCTTTAGATTTGCTTTTGTTTCTTTTTTAGAAATGCCACTATATTTTGATCTGGACTTGCTAATTTTTAATTAGACATTTATTTTTTAAAAAAAAAATGAAATTGGATCAAAAAGGACGGACATAAAGTATTCAATAATATGCTGAAATTGAAATGATAAATATTTATTATCTAGCAATATACAGTAGATGGTCAGTTACCGTTAAGAACATGGAATCGGGGCTGAAAAAAAACAAATATACATATAATATAAAATTTTATTTTTTATTAACATATATACATTTTATTTTTTATTAACATTTATAAACATAATGAAGTAAGGCCTGCATGAGAGGAAGATAACCAGACCCAAAGCCATTATTAGTTATCACCTTTACTTTGAGCCTTACTTCATAAAATTATATTATCATATTTTGTTAAAAATATATCTGAAAGTCTAATTCTAGTTTCCAATATTTGTATACTTTTTATGACTATTACAACTAGAACTTCTGTATTTAATATTTGTTTTTTTGGTGCATATTTTGTTTTTCTGTTGTCTTTAATACTTTTCATTTTATAA